CAAGGGTGATGTGGCGACGGCTGGTGGGCGGCCAATAGCTGCGGATGGTACTGTTCCGGCGTGAACGGTGCACGTAAAATGCGAGAACCGAGCCGAGAACAAGAAACGGAGAAGAAGAAAGGAATTCTCGGGGGATTTGGCCGAATAAACTGAGAGGAGAGAGAGAGGGTCTGGTCAAAGTGAGTCAATAAGGTGTGGGTGGAATCTAAGTGTCAAGATCTAGGCCAATTGGACAATTTTGCCCTTGATCCAATGGCCAAGATTAATCCATATCTAATTATTTAGGGGTAAAATGGTCATTTGCCACTAACCCAAGGCTGACCAGACCTGGATTAACTCTAACCAACCTTGGTTAATCCCAAAATTAAATCCAAAATTCGGAATTGGCCAAATTAGCCCTAGGGGCATTTTCGTAATTTTTTCGATCCCGAACCGAAATTCCATTTTTCGCACATACGTGTTCCATATGTGTGTGGCCAATATAATATGGCGTCTGATCTGCGAAATTCATTCTTTAAGCCCTCGAAAACTGACTGCGAAATTTCGAGAATAAAATAATATTATTCTTTCAATTTTTGTCGAAATTCCAATTTTTGTCCATAACGACTCCCGGTATGCGTGGCCACCCAAAAATGGCGTCGGCCTCGAAAAATAACCTCGCTTGGCCTCGGAAATGGACATCGAGGTCCCCAAGGGCAAAATTGTAATTTTCCCCAATTTCTGTCGAAATTTCCATTTTCATCCGTACTAGTCCCAAACATGCGTGGCCACTCTAAAATGACGTCCGTCTTGCAAAATAGTCGTAATTACCCTTGAAATTTTGATATCGAAGTTCGGGCTCAATATTGCGATCAAAATAACTCGTTTCGAAGTCTCAGGGCCTCTCACTAACGGGCGGCTATTTAGGTGTTACGCGTATCGACCTAAGATTGTCCGAGTCATGATGGCCTCGAATTTCGAGAGAACGAGAGGAACTATCACTCGCACCGGGGGTCGCGATCGTTTGGATTAAAATCGGGGTTCGTTAGTCAGGCGTACTTTCGGTCGTGCAGAATCACCCGCGAACCGATCGTGCGTCGCTGACTATATCAACCCGTCATTCTCCTAAGATCGGCCTATATTGGCTCAAAATATTCCCTCGACGTTTCTCGAACTCGGTGCTCAATCGCGATCGGATCCTCGGTCCACGTACCTGTTCCTATTTAGCCTTTCCCATTTGGTTAGTATCCCGTGATTGATCAAGTCCGGGCGAGACTTACTAAAATCAAACGAGAATTAATGCACACTTTATTGGTCCCGGTAACGGGTCAAAATTCAGGATGTTACAGTACATAAGTTATGGCACTTGAGTGATCGAAAAAAAAGTTATGCCACTCAAATAAGCGCTGTACGAAAGTTATGGCACTTGTGGTATCGTTTTTCTAGTTAAGAACCGTTATAATTCATGCCCAAGAAGAGAACCAGCAAACATCCACTGAACACAGCCCACATTTCATATTGAAGATGATGTCTAAACATGTCAACGTGGCTGAGAGATCATCAATATACTAGTACCAGATCACAAACGATTAAAATACCACTCAAATGAGGTTGGAACCATCACATTTCACACGCAAAGATGGGCGACCAGCAAATAACCAACAAGCAAACAGCCATATATACTGACAGACCAATGCATTGATTTGATAAAGAGTCTAAACAGAATGGAAAAATATGATGCACTCTTACGTTTATATATGTCCTCATATGACTGAAATAACATACAAACAAAACTGACCGATCACCAGTAGTTATGACTGAACAACACATTTAACTGTATGAAAGTGAGTTGTGTGGTTGTGGATGGGCACCGAGGTCGGAAAATACTAATATGTTGCGTACAAAGGGATGGATAGGAACAACTGATGGGGGAAATAAGACAAGACCACACACTAAAGCTTTTAGTCATGATAAGGACGGGTATTTAGCCATGACTGCAAAGAAATCACGGACAAACATCGAAGGAAGGTTTAATTTACGAAACTATGATAAGATATTCAAAATGATATTCGGGCTTCTACCCGGCGGAGTTCTCCCAAATACTACACGGGAAACTCGATTCTTTCTTCTGCAATTGAGCCGATTGCCCCTTAAAAAAGTTTTCTTTTCTTTAATAATTTTCTCTTGCTACGCTTTTTCGATCGAAAATTCTGCCTTACCTTGACATGCCGTGAATCCTCTTGAAAGAGAGGTGTGCCTTCGGATGGGGTGGTGGTAGGGAAGCTGCTGGTACCCTATGATGCAAGTGGAGCTTATCAACAGAAAAGAATCAATTTAGATACTCCTTTGTGGCTTCTAATTACAGCAGTTCGTCCTGATCCTAGATAAAGCACGAAAAGAATGATGCATTCAATTAAGCAGCAATGACCGCTATTCCACGCCGAAAAGGTGGAGTCAGAACTGGTAACCTGACACGGTTCATCGATGACCACTAATTGCACTCTTGACGGACTGCGCCACTTTCAATGGGTCCGACAGGTAACTGAAAATATCATCGACTATGTTTCGGACTTCTGCATTTGATGCTTGTTTGATTGGTGGATTCTTCTTTCATTTTCTCTGTTTTTTTTTTGCTAAAACTTCTTTCATTTTCTCATTGAAGAAAGAGAAAAGGACGCACGAAAACATCGCTTGGTCCTACACGCATTGGTTATTTTGCAAAGCACGACCTTGACTTTCTTGACGCGGTCTGTTCTATTTCACACTTGTATTTTTGTCCAAACAATCTATTTTTCTCCGAAGGAAAAGAGAGACCTGTCTTTACTGCTGGATCTTCATTTCTTTCTATCTCTTCTTCTGACTGGTTTTGTGTCTCCACCTCAACGCTCCTTCAAAGATCCAGGTTTGCTCTCTCTCTCTCTCTCTCCCTGCGTGTGTAGCGATTATGGTATTTTTGCTTTGTTTGTCAAAGGATATTCTGTGAAATAATGCAAATCTCAAGTAAATTTATCAACTAATGTGTTTGATTTTGAACAATATTTAGCGAAGCTTTTTTAAGCACCTAAGTGTTAACAAGTAGCCATCAGCAGTTTGTTTTCTTATTTGCATGAACAAGTAGCCATTAACTGTTGCTGCTGTACATTAGTCCGCCATTCGTCTTGGTGTTATGTACCGGCTTTTATTGCGGCACTAGAAAAGGCGGAGAGGGTCAGGGATGGATTAACCTTGGTAGATGAGATGCTGGACCTGTGGAGTTTCCCTGTCTCACCAAAGCGAAAAAAAAGAAGGAGAATTATATTGCTTGAAAAATTCGACGAAAGGAGGATAGATAGAGTTATTGACAAACACTAGCAGAAACAGAGTTATATACAAACACTAGCGCGAGGAAGACATGCCCATATGTTGCCAAATCGGATTTTAGATAGCATAATCTCCGGCTAAGGAGAGAGTATTATATGGTGCATGGACCATGTAGATCAAGAACATCAGGACCATTGATCATGAGGGCCCCTTAGTGAGATTCACATAGTTAATGATTTGGGTGATATTGATTCACGTGATCTATAAACCATAGAGTAACTTCTCGGCTAAGGCTTACCTAATGCCGTAGCTTTAAGTTTTTTTGTCGGCCATGTAGACCGTATCTATTAAATTAAAAATCAAGTCAATGCACTGGTTTATCACATGCCAGTTGTATAATGAACAGAGATTGACATGGACTCATAAACAAGCGCTATATGTGGATGTCAATCAGTATTGACATTAGCGATACATTGCGCAACCACTCTATCCCTAAATTAGCCACTCTAAGCTAGTTTGAGTCTGTCGTGAAGCGTTAAATCAAATATAGTCTCAAATCATCCTTCTTGAGGTCACAACATAACGCCTAGTGACAAGGCGATCAAAATTCTCCTCTTGGCAAGGTTTCCACTTATTATTAGGTAGTGGTTTGGTTCAGAAGGATATCCTGAAATCATATGCATACCCATAAACTCCTAAATTCACAAAGATAATGAGCATAAAACCATCATCATCCAATAATCCACGCAAGCAATCCAAAATCAATATCATAAAAGAGAGCACATTTCACAAATCAAAACATATAACCTTTCGCAACTTAATTCATCAATTATATATCCTTTTGTAAAGCTTTTCTAAATCATTTCATAAGTTAGATTCGCAAAGCACTACATATAACCTTTTATAACACGTTTCTCAAATAATTTGTAAATAACCAAATAGTAGTAAATGTCCAATCCCAATTTATGCAACAAAAATGCTATTTTGTAACTCATAATATATAGAATCCCTATCACTTTCAAGTCATGGATTTACAAATTCAAAAAAGAGATAAGCACCACTAACCTGGAAATGTCTAAAAGCAAAAAACAAACATTACTCAGGCCGACGAACTCACAATCCTATAAAATAAGCGAGAAACAATATAAAAATCTACCTCAACTACGAATCGACTAAACTAAGATTAATCGCCGAAAAAACGACTCCAACACGTCAACAAAACGCTCACCCAAAGTAGATATTCAAAGTTATTTGCTCCACGGAACTCGTCCGTGAAACTTTAAAAATTCATTTCAACTAACCCATAACTTGAAATTGATTTCCATCAAACCCTACAGTTTCACAACATCCTAACCTATCATTTTCATATAATTCCATAGCTTAACAACTCTGAAACTGAATCCCGCAATTCAAAATTCACATAACTCCGAATTTATTACCTAACTTCTAAAATAATTCCGATTAGATGAACAAAGGGTACGAATCCTTGCCGGGCGCTGCGAAACAAGTTAATTTGGCTTAGCAAGGTCTCCGAAACATTTACTCTCGAAACCTTTATCTTCTTTCTTTTCTTTTCCTTTTCTTTCCCTTTCTTTCTTTTCTTTTCTTTGTTATTTCCTTTTCTGTGCGTGCCCTATCTTTTCCCTTTATAATAAGTGTCTACTTTTCTTTTCTTTTGTTGACTAGTCAAAAATTCCTCTTTGTTTCTTTTTTTAGGCGCCTGCCCATTTTGACTCAGTCAACGCCACTGTTACACTTCCAATTTGGTTTGAGTGGGCGAGGTGTTCGGCTTAAGCAAACCCACACCAAGTTTCCGCTGGTTGTTCGATGAATTGCCATTTTGATTAAGATCAACCAGAACTAGTACGAAATTTTGTTTTCTTAAGGTCCAAGCCACATCTGTTTTTTCAGTTGTTGCGCCATGTTCATTTTCAATCGAACCCCACAAGAGGTTTCTCGCAAGTCTATCAATTCAGTGGAGTCGCTTGACTTCTAGTTGATCACAGCTACAGCATTACATGAGAGGCAGAACTCAAGGGACCGATTGAGTCAGAGTCACTCGCTTGATCTAATACTTCTAGAGACGAAGAACATTACACTTAGCCGTGGAATAGTGTGCGATTCATCTGCATCTTGGCCCCCAAAATTTTTCTGGATTTGTCAATGATGATGGTGCTCTCCAGTATTTCCTAATGCACCTCGTAAAAACCTAGGACTCCCATCACTGTCAAATTCTCTATCAGTTACTGTCAATGTTATCAACTAGATGAATGTTGTCAATAACAACAGTGATTCAAAAGTATAACATCATAGCATCCATGTCATACTTCTTCCAATTCCTTTTCAGGGCATGGAATGATTCGGAAATGTCTGTTGGCCATCCTCAAAAATTTTGTTTCTACTAGAGCTTCCATCACTGAGATTGTGCATTTAACTTTTGTATTTCTGTTTAATCGCTCATCAATAACTCAAATTTTCAGACTTTGGCAGCTGCAGGTTCTCTCCACAATGAATAGAAGCTAGTGAAAGAATGCTGACGAGCCTCTAAATATTCGGAACAAGGATAGCTCACGGCTCAGCGAGAATGCGTCTGACAAAAGAGGCTCTAACCCAAGCAGTCTTCATCCTTTCATTAAACATTTTATCTGCCAATTCCGAAACCTTCAAAAACATTTCTTTCAATATCCCTTCTTTTCAATTGAACGATCAGAGAATAACTTTTCAGGGAAAGTCTACCGTACTGAACTCCAGCATCCAACTCACTCCTGGTGCGAAAATTCTCGTGGAGAACCCCACATACATAGCTGGCCGAGCAATGTACCATGAACCCTTGCACCTGTGGGATAGTTCAACAGGGAACGTGGCAGATTTTGTCAGCCATTTTACTTTGGCTATCGATTCCAATGAGAACGACTCCCATGCTGACGGATTGGCATTCTTTCTCGCTTCCAGTGGATCGCAGATCCCTGAACACTCAGAAGGATGCTTTCTAGGCCTCACATCAAATCTAAATTCTACCAACTCTAGTACTGCATTTGTTGCAGTAGAGTTTGATACTTTCTATGACCATTCGACAAATAAATGGGATCCGCTATGTGAACATGTCGGTATCGATGTAAACAGCGTGGCTTCTGTCCGTGAAACTTGTGTCTCATGGATGGAATACAACATACTCCATGGTCAAGAGCTCCATGCTCAGGTCACATACGATTCTAGAGCAATGAACTTGAGTGTTGTTTTTGGAGATAATGCTGAAAATTCCGTCAGCCTTCACTATCAGCCACTTAACCTGACAGAGTACTTGCCGGAATGGGTGGATTTTGGTTTCTCAGCAACAACAGGGCAGTTGTTTGAGGCTCATACTATTTTCTCATGGGAATTCAACTCTAGTCTGCAAATCCTTGACAATGTAAACAGTACAACAAATGAGACTAACGTCGACCCACCTACAGGTGGTATAACTCGAGGAGAAAAAAGCAAGTCGTGGGTTAGGGGGACTACCATGGGCTTAAGCTCTTTGGTGTTGCTTATCCTTGTTGCAGGATTTGGCTGGTATGGTTATAAGCTAAAGAGAAATAAGAATGATCAAACTGGAGAAGAAGAAGACGTTCCGGGGATTGATGAAGGATTTGAACAGTCCAGGGGACCCAAGAAGTACTCCTACAAGGTCTTGGCCATGGCAACTAACAACTTTGCCAATACCCGATTGCTCGGGGAAGGGGGTTTCGGAGGAGTGTATGAAGGACACCTCTCTGATGCAAATTCCCATGTCGCTATCAAGAAGATCTCTCCAGAGTCCAAACAAGGCGTAAAGGAGTATGCCACTGAAGTGAAGACGATTAGACATCTCAGGCATAAAAATTTAGTGGAGCTCGTCGGCTGGTGTCATGAGAGAAATAAGTTCCTCCTTGTGTATGAGTTCATGTCTAACGGTAGCTTAGACTCTCATTTGTTCAAAGATAAAGCGCCGCTGACATGGGAAAAGAGGTACAATATCGCTCAAGGCATTGCCTTAGGGCTGAAATACTTGCACGAGGATTTGAAACAATGCGTTGTGCACAGGGATATAAAGTCTAGCAATATCCTACTTGATGCACAATTCGAGGCTAAATTGGGGGATTTTGGCTTGGCTCGGATAGTCGACCATGCCAAAGGGTCGCAAACAACTCTAGTGGCTGGGACCACGGGATATTTGGCCCCTGAATGTATCTATACAGGCAAGGCAAGCAAGGAATCTGATGTCTACAGCTTCGGAGTCGTCGTCTTAGAAATAGCGTGTGGAAGAAGAGCTATTGAACCGAGAGCATCACAAGGCCAAATCCAACTCGTGGAATGGGTCTGGGAGCTCTATGGTATCCGAAAGCTATTCGATGCGGCAGATCCAAAGTTAGGAGAAAATTTCGATGCGAGACAAATGGAGTGCTTGATGATTGTAGGCCTCTGGTGCGCTCATCCAGACCCTAAGGAACGGCCTCCCATAAGCAAAGCGATAGCCTTTTTGAACTTCGATGCTTCACCACCCATTCTCCCACCAAATTTGCCCATGCCGACATATATTGTGCCTCCATCTTCGATGCCCGAATCGTCGCACGTTACGTCCGCCAGCTTCAGAAGTAGTGAACCACCGAGTGCTTTCAATTACGAACTGTCCACATTTACCGGTTCTTCCAAGAAATCTTGCAGTTCATCTTCTTCTGCGTTGCTTTCGAATGCAGAGTAAGTTCACTGTTTTTATGGGTTCTGTAATGCGACTTTGGTGTTCTATGATTCGTATGTATTACATGTACACAAGCAGACCTTTAGTTTCAAGTTTCTATTTCCTCTTATTTTTGGATTTTCACATTACGTGTTAGATTTTGTGCCAGCATTGTATGGATTTTGATGTGAAAGTGGGTGTATATGTGTTAGTGGGACAACACAGCAAAGGGTGAAAAGGAAACATATATGACTTTCATTGAGAAAGTATTACAATGTTGATGGGTTTCATACTTGACTGAACAGTCTTGCCTATTAATAGACTCAATCCACGGACCTATACATGCAATTTATCTCTGCAATTGTCAGATATTATTTCTTGTTTTTAATTTGGGCTACAAACTTCAACTACTACCTATTAAACTCATGATCTGTTTCAGTGGCTATTAGTCATCTCAATCCAGGATTTTGTAATTTTGTGGCTTGCAAAATTATGCAGTCATAACGTAAATCGCACTGTCCTTCCTCCTACTCTCGACTTCTCTCTCTCTCTCATACTCACAATCTATATTGGTAACCATCAAACTTACATTAGAAGTTTGAGGAGGGAAAACCAGTTCCAAGGTCTACCTAGGAATTGGCGGATTCGGTTTTTAGTTTCTGGTTTTGAGAATGAAGACAGAGCTTGAAACTATCTCTCTTTTAATTAATTTTTTTTGGATTTGAAATTCTGATATAGTTCTTCCTTAATCCACTTGAATTTGCCCAGTCGGCCGCCTCCTGGAGAGATTACTGAAAACGAAAGCCAGGTGGCTCATGCCAGTCCCAACTGTCGCGGTGTGCTTGGATGGAACTCTGCGATTCTAAGCTATCAGCTGGACAATAGTTAAGCAGCCATTGAAGTCAATCAATTTAAGTTTTCGAGATTTGGTCACCTATAAAATCAAATCTTCAGTTTCCAAAAATATAGATGCTAGAACTATGGTACGTAATCTTGTCTTCAAGATGAACGTCAATTAATCAAATTATCATGTGTGATTGATATTTTCTACGTAGATATTTCTTGAGATTAATAATCAATCAATTTCTTCGATATGAAATCAAAGTCAAATCACTAGCTATCATGAATATTAAGATAAAAATAATCATGGGATATTTTTATCCACAGCATGTGATAAAGCTGCTATATGGGCATCATGGTCACTCAGCTCATATCAATTGTTCCCGGTTATGTTTAGTTTTCCGGTTGTATCAAATTTCCCGGTGATATCTAACTAATTCTCGAGGACAACTTTGAGTACATTAGAAATGTAGATTTTCTGGTTCTGTTCACCGTGGTACCTCCAAGTCTTTTCACACTATATTATACTTGTTCACACGTAGGTTCATCCAATCTTCACCAAGTCTTTTCTTTTGTACATATGATTTCCCTTAAAAGCGAGTATTACCTGAAAGGCAAGCAACTTCTTCATTCATTAAAGCTCATAACGCATATGGATAGTTTGGTCTACTTCAAATTATTATAAGAGGTTTTCTCGTCAGCACTTCCCTGCTCACTAACCCAAACGGCAGCTAGTTGCTGGTACAACTTGTGCTCGCTCTTGAATTGGTTGAAGCTGTTGTAGTGGGCTATGTCGGTTCCCAGGATCAGGTCAAGGGTCGTGCTCGGCCCATCATGTTCTGGGACAAACAATAGAAACCTAATCTTCATAAGCAACTCGATATTAATCATACATTCGCTATATTCACGCTCATCTATTGTAAACTATAGTAAGGTCAATACTCGGCCCTGCGCGCATTACCCTTTATTTGGGGTGTGAAATTAATAGCAGGGACTAAGTCGCTAGTGCAAAAACAACCACCATGACAAGGGTCGACGACCCTTACCCAAATTTATCAAAAAGGTGGCCCTCGCCCAAGCTCTGTCTCTCTCTCTCTCTTCATCTCTGTGTCGTGTCAACAGTGGAGTCAACGGCGGTGAACACGCTTGCTTAAACCCAACAACGGACACCAGAATCTTCCTATGACGGGTGCCCACCAAATTGTCACTTTTGTAGTTCCCCCTCCCTCTTCCCTCTCTATTTTTTGTTCAATTTTATGAAAAAGTCCCTGTCATTGCGCAGAAAGCACCGCATGATTGCACATGCAAGTCACTTGGCGAAGATTTGGCCGGTCTTTGCGCTGGGGATGCATTTGGAGACTAATACGTGTTAAATATGTCTTGAATTTTATGTACTCGGTCCGGTTCATGACCCGACCCGATATATTTTTGTGCGACTCGAAAATTGAGATTTAGTTCGCGACGCGGAGAGTTGGGCCGATAGGGGGGTTCGGGGGCGTAGCTCCCGAGGAAAATTTTCGGGAGCACTATTTATACTGCGGCTAGGTTTTCTCATTGATGTTGAGAGAGAGAATTTTATTTTTCAGAGAGTTTTGTAAGCCGTGAGCTTTTGTCGTTGTTTCGACTTCTGAAAACTGTATTCTCTTTGATTATAGTGGAATCTTGTCTTGCCTCGCCCGTGGACGTAGATCACGTTGTGATCGAACCACGTAAATCCTCGTGTTCTGTGTTTGCTTTTCCGCGTTTGCTATAACAATACGCTTGTTTGAGGTCCTTTTTTAGACAAGGCCTATTCTCGAAACTCTTTTTGAGAAAATGGTTCCACTTTAGAGCGCTATTTGAATTTTTACCATCAAATAATGGAAGTGCATGTGTGAGATTCAAAATGAAGTAAAAAGAGCTCTCAAGTGGATGCAGGTCTAACTAAATATTTCAATGGGCTCAAGTATGGAGCTCTCCGTTGAATCTCCCAATTCCGAAGGTATTGGACAATTGCTGACGCTTTTTACAATAGTGGTGCTAGAGTCTATGGCTGTTACGTGAGCCTCGGCAATATGTTTTAGTGTATGGACTCAACAAGGAATCTTATGGATCATCATCGGTTGCCAAGTTATGGTTTTGGAATCAAATAGTTTTAGCAAATAACTCGGACCGCCAGTTGTGACTTTGTCCCTGAAATTCTTCTTTGTGATGAATCATTTCATTGCTCAAAACCATTTTGGCGACGGGAATTGGAATTTTGCCGGCATAAGTCAAGTCTGTAGTGATGGACAAGTTTTTCTTTGTGAAATGCTCAAGCTTGGGCATCGCAATTTGCATTTTTGTCCTTAAAGAAGAATTTTGGCAACGAAACAGAAGCTTCGCCATTGGAGTGGCACTGCAGATAACCTTGGGGACCGAGTCTTACCCACCGTTGCCAAAATTTAGTGGCCAGAACTTATTCTTCTTAAGTGTCTATTTGAATTGACTTTTATTTTTTACTTTTTTGTTTCATTTATATTTTGCGATTCACGCATTTTGACCTTTCTATTAAATCCGAATCTGGCCTTTAGATTCGAATATAATTTTTTTCATGGCATTTTGAAATTAATTTTGATGGGATTTATTTTTCATCTAAGTCTCAAACAAACAGGTTACCTAAAACATCATATACACATTAAACCTCGGCGAAAATATTGGAAGCTCCAAGGAGGCGTGGAATTTACATAACTCCATTCACCAGTGGCCACGTTCCATGACTGGCCTCACTCTGACTTCATCTGAAAATTCAATTTTTTTTTCCTTTTCTTCTTGCTCTACGTGGCTCGCTCGCTCCTCCAACTATCTTTTTGGGATAGTGATACAAATAGTTATAAACTTTGACCCAATGTGTAATGTGATTCATGAACTTTAGCCAAATGTGCAATGTGATCCTTAAACTTTTAATATGTTTAATGTGGTCCATAAAATTTGGTACATCTTTAAACTAGTCCCTGAACTACATGGAAGAAAAATATTGAATATTTTCATATAATGCAAGGACTAGTTTGAACATGTACCAAAATTTATGGACCATATTGAACATATTAAAAGTTCAAAAATCACATTGCATATTAGGTTAAAGTTAAAGAACCACATTATACATTGGGTTAAAGTTCAGGAACTATTTATGTCATTTTCCCTTTCTTGTTCTTCCTTCTTGAAATCCCTAAATCTAACCCAAAACAGAACTTCATATGGAAAGGAGAAGCACGCCACATTTCCTTCGAGTCTTCTTCCTTCCGGGGATCTACATCTTTCTGTTAGGTATTTCAATGAGGGGATTCATTGCCTCAATGTATGATCTGGGTCCACCCACAAAAGAGAGGATTTCTAAATCTCACTGTGCTCTTAGGGTCCTTGTATCTTGGTTGTTCGTTTCTGGGTTTCAAGATTTTCCATGGACCTCATAGAGAAGATGGCTCCAAGATTGGATTTTTCAGATTGGTAGGAAAAGGAAAATGGGAAGGGAACGCCTGTGACAGTGAAAACGGAAAACCCAATTCCATTTCAATGGTAATTTATGGTCAAAAAGGTATCGTCATTCTCAAATAATGGTGTCTTCACCATAGCAGCACTCACATTAATATTATAGACTCAGGCTATATAACTGGTTCTACACATAATGTCTCTCACGGTTAATTTGAGCAGCTAGTAACATGTTAAAACAATAATATGGGGATGTGTAAGAAAAGGTTACACGGCCTGTGATGACAAGTGACGAGGATGACAGGGATAGAGTTGTGACAGAGTAGAAGGTATTTTATGTGACGGATGTAGCACGTGACAGTTACAAGGTGTAACCGATCAATCAAAAGTGAGAAACATACACACATAGGACCATGGGCTATATGGCTCCGGAATGCATTCATATTGACAAGGCAAGCAAGGAATCGAACATCTATAGCTTTGGGTTTCCCTGGTGGAGATAGGGTGCAGAAGAAAAGTCGATGACTCAAGGCAGTCATGGGACCATGTGGGGCTTGTGGAGTGGGTTTGGGAGCATAATGGAACAGGAAGCCTTTTGGAGGCATTAGATCCGAAACTAGGCAAAGAATTTGATGAGAAAGAAGTTCAATGCTTGACAATTCTAGGGCTTTACGGTGCTCATCCAGCTTATAAGCTCGGGCCTTCTATCAGATAAACAACAGTGATCTTAACGGTAAGGCTTTGCCACCAGACCTTCCCACGAAGATGCCTGTCCATACATATCTAGCTCCTTTTTCGGAAATATCCATGTTATCACTGATTTGTTCATACAAGATGGCCACTGCCAATGAAGCAGGCGATAAATGTGCTCAGTTCTCAACATTTTGTTTGTGTTTCAGAATATGTTAATGGCTTCATAATTATAGATTTAGTTTGCATGGACAGAAAATTTCGGAGGCTAAATTTCAAAGCAAAAAGTCTAACCAATTTTGTTGATTATAATGCAAATTCAAAAAATTTGATATTAAATGTTGAGAAAACCTCCGAATAAATTTTGAAATTGACAAAACTATCCATATGTG